AATCATATGGTAATTCTATTTTTAATTTTTTGAGGAACCACCATACCATTTTCCACAACAGCTGTACCATTTTCCATTCCCACCAGCATGTACAAGGGTTACAATGTCTCCACATCCTTACCAACACTTGCTGTTTTCTGGGGGGGGGGGGGGTGTTTGTTTGTTTGATTGATTGTTTTTAATTATAGCCATCCTAATGAGTGTGAAGTGGAATCTCACTGTGGTTTTGATTTGCATTTCCCTAATGATTCGTAATGTTGAGTATCTTTTCATGTGCATATTGGCCATTTGTATATCTTCTTTGGACAAATGTCTGTTTAAGTCTTTTGCCCATTTTTTAACACGGTTGTTTGGTTTTTTGTTATTGGGTTGTGGAAGTTCTTTATATACTCTTTGGATATTAAGCCCTTATCATATAAGTGATTTGCAAATATTTTCTCTCATTCTGTGGGTTGCCTTTCACACTAGTGATAGTGTCCTTTGATATACAAAAGTTTTTAATTTTGATGAAGTCCAATTTATATATTTCTTTTGTTGCCTGTGCTTTTGGTGTCATATCCAAGAAAGCATTGCAAATTCAATGTGCAAATATTTTTAATAATAAAACAAGAAGACTCTCTCTCTGCTCTCTCTCTCTCTGCTTCCACCATCTTGCAGTGTGAGACCCCTGAGTCACTGTCACCACCACCAGATGGAATTCGGACTTCTCAGCCTCAGAAACTGTAAGCAATAAATGTCGTTTTTCTTTATAAATTACCCAGTCTCAGATATTTCTGTCATAGCAACACAAAACGGACTAATACAGAAAATTGGTTCCATGGAGTGGGGTGTTGCTATACAGATACCTGAAAATGTGGATGCAGCTTTGGAACTGGGTGTTAGGCAAAGGTTGGAGGAGTTTGGAGGACTCAGAAAAAAGACAAAAAGATGAGGGAAAATTTGTAATGTCTTAGAGACTGGTTAAATGGTGGTGAGCAGAATGCTGATAGAAATATGGACTGTAAAGACCATTCTAAGGAGGTCTCAAATAGAAATAAGAAGGAATTTATTGGAAACTGGGTCAAAGATCACCCTTGCTGTGAACTGGCAAGGAATTTAGCTGCACTGTGTCCATGTCCTAGGACTCTGTGGATATTAAAACTTAAGAATTGTGAGCGAGAGTACTTGGTGGAAGAAATTTCTGTACTTGGTGGAAGAAATTTATAAGCAGCAAAGCATTAAGGAAGCTGCATGGCTACTTGTAACAGCCTATACTGAGTTATGGTGGCAAAGGTATGACAAAAAGCCAGAATTTAAAAGGAAAGCAGAATGTAAAGATTTGGAAATTTTACAGCCTGTCCAATTTTACAGCCTGGTAGACAAGCAGAGAGCATTTTCAGAAGAAAAAATCAATGGTACTAAGATTAGTACAAAGGAAAGGGATTATCAAGAGAAGGAGAAAAAGTTCCTGAAGTCATTGAAGAAGACTCTGGGGCCAACCCTTCCATTTCAGGCCCAAAGGACCAGGAATACAAAATGGTCTTGGGGAACAGGCCCCAGGCACCTTCCATAGGCTTGCTGCCCAGGGCCACCTCAAGAAGCTGCTTCCAGCACCAGCACCCCAGCTGCTTTGGCTGCTCCAGCTGTGGGTAACTTGGCCTCATGTGTTACCAGACATGCAGCTTTGGAAAACACTAGCTGGAAGCCTTGGAGGCATCAGGTCACGTGGTATTAGGTCAGTAGGTTTGCAGAATGCTAGAGCTGTGGAGGCTTGGGAGCCTCCACCCCAATTTCAGAGGATGTATGGAAAAGTCAGGGGGCCCAGGAAGAGATCTGTCACACGGGCAGAGTCACCACAGACAACCTTCACTAGAGCAATGCCAAGTGGAAACGTGGGGTCAGAGTTGCAGCAGAGAAACCCCAACAGCACTATGCCTAGTGGAGCCATGAGAGCAGGACTCCCATGGAGAATCCAGACCTGTGGAGCTACCAGCATGCAATGCCAGGCTGTAAGAGCTAAAGCATCACCTGATACCAGAAAAGCCATAGGAGAGGAGCTGCCAGAGGACTTGGGGACCCAACCCACACACCAGCATGCAGAGGATGTTGAACATGGAGTCAAGTTACAAGATTCACCAGCTTTGAGATTTAATGCCAGCCCTGCTGGGTTTTGGACTTGTTTGGGAACTGTTTCTCCTTTCTTTCAGCCTATTTCTCCCTTTGGGAATGGAATGTATACCCTATATTTGTCCCACCACTGTATCTTGGAAGTAGATAACTTGTACTGATTTCACAGATGGGACTTTGAAAAAATAAATAAGAAGAAAAAAAATCAAGCAAAGATCTGTCCCTTTTGATGAAGATCTGGGCCATGACGATAGGACTTCTGTCAAAATTGAGGGTGGAACAGATACAGAATGCCTCTTTCCTACTACAAATAATACTGGATAAAGTAGAATCCCCCCCCTCAAAAAAAGTTAAAAATACCTGGTCAATTAAAAGACAGAAAGTGGGGCCGAGCCTGTGGCGCACTCGGGAGGGTGCGGCACTGGGAACGCAGCAGCGCTCCCGCCGTGGGTTCGGATCCTATATAGGGATGACCGGTGCGCTCACAGCGCTCACTGGCTGAGCGCGGTGCGGCCAGTCTCAAAAAGGACAAAAGAAAAAAAGACAGAAAGTGAAATATCTAGATTCCAGAAGCAGAAAGGGAACTCATAGGTGAAACAGTGCACCAGTTAAGGCCGTGCAGCCCTGGGCTGTGGTGCGAACTGAAACTGAGCTCTCGGCTGAGGGAGATCGCTACTAAAGAGTTGCCCCGTCAGTGATGGAGGCTGGAAAACTCAGCCCACCATGCTGGGACAAGACTCAGAATGAGTCCTAGGGCATGGGGCTCAAACACACACTGCTGCCTGCTGTGAATCCCCAGGCTAAGAAAGTAACTCAAAACTACTCCAGAGCAGTAAGTGCCATAACCCTGGACAAATGCAAAGCCACCTCATGAGGTCGCCTCTGGCTATTTGAGGAATTCCATGGGAGATAAATCCTGCTAAATTAGGCTCACAGGCAAACATTACACTGCACATGAGGGACAATCAGTACATGCAACAAATGAGACTTTGCACCCAAGTAACAAGAGAGAGAGCAATTTGGAAGGACTTTAGCATGAGTATGTTTAAAATGTGCAAATAAATAAAGCAAGAAATCGAATGCATAAAATAACCATAAGAGTGCATGAAGGAAAAAAGAACCAAATAGAGATTCTGTAATTAAAATATATAGTCATGCAAGTATAGAAAAGATCCTGAAGCTGGGCATTCAACCACCAATTCATGGCCCAACTCCAGTGATGGGGAGAGGATCTCTCCCTGCCCGGCTGCACCTTAGGAGACCTCAGTGACTCACCACACCCACCCACCTCACAATGACCCCATTGTACTGTCCAGGAACCTGGTGACAGATGTGTTGGGAATTGAGGCAGAGAGATCGAGAGGACCACACCCGGGCAGCAACTGCAATAATTCATGCTTTGTTTCCCAGCTCTCCCTAATCTCCTAAATCTCCCCCAGTCACCACCAAGAAAGAAGACTGGGAGAGGGCGGCAAGTCTGCACTGGCTGGGAACTGGGTCTGAGTGATTCGAGCAGCCTGTGAGGACAGAGAGAAGCAACGGTAATCCTGGTTCCCTCGCCCCACCCCTCTCAGCCGAGGACGCAACCAAAGCTGGGAGAAATGTTTCTGTTACCAGGTTCATACTTTACCCTCACAATGACTTAGTGTCAACATTACCATTAAATGTGCTCTGCGGAGTCACCAGGGCTTCTGATAGGTATACAAGACAAAGCCGACAACCAGGTTCATACTTTACCCTCACAATGACTTAGTGTCAACATTACCATTAAATGTGCTCTGCAGAGTCACCAGGGCTTCTGATAGGTATACAAGACAAAGCCGACAACTCAGGAACACTGCAACAAAGCCAACAACTCAGGAACGCTGCAAGTCCAGTCCACAAAGAGATTAACTTCTGGCAGAGGAGAAACCCATACATGAAAGTTGGGAAAGGTGTAAATTCATATCAACTGGGCAGCAGAGGTTGCTTCATGAAAACTAGCTCACCCTTCTCATTTCCTCACTACCAAACTTCCCCGACCCCCTGCAGTCCCATGCTGAAATTGCTTTCTCCAGGATCAAATGAGTCCTTACTATGTTACCAAATCCAACAGCCTGTCCCTAGCCTTCACCATCCTTGATTCACAGAGCTGGTAGGCACCACTGACGGCCCCATGGCCTCCTGAAGTCGTGTCCTCCTTCCCAGATCCCCCCCACACCGCACTGTCTTTCATTTGTCCTGGAAACCCTGGATTGTGGTCCCAGACCTGCCACATACCAGCTATGTAATCTTCAGCAAATGTTGTCTCCTCTTCCTTAACTGGAAAATGGAGTTAATGCTGCCTACCCTATCTTCCCACGGGGTTGTTATAAGACTCAGGGGAAATAATGAGTGTGAAAATGCCTGTAATGCTAGACACAAATGATTGTTTTGAACTCTTGTCCCTCTTTTCTTTTTATCATGGAAACTTTCTACAAAAATAGAATAGCATACTGTAATCTGGCTCATCGGTAATATCTTATTTAATTTATACCTTTATCTACTGCCACCCCAACACTGGGTTGTTTTGAAGTAAATTCCAGACAACATATCATTTAATCCATTTCAATATATATCTCTGAATGATAAGGACTATTTTATTTTTAAAACAAAATCATATTATTCACACCTACAAAAATTAACAAGAATTATTTAATATTCAATGTTCAAATTTCTCGCCAACTGTCTCATAAAGGTATTTTTTTACAGTTTGTTCAAATAAGAATAAAATAAGGTCCCTTTATGGTAATTGATTGACATCTATCTTACATCTCTTTTAATCTGTAGTCTGTCTCTCTCTGTGTCTCTCTTCCTCTCTCTGTCTTTGCCTCTGTCCCTTGCTATTTATTTATGGAAGAAGAAACTGGTCCATTTATCTTGTAGGATTTCCCGTAGGCTGGCATTTGCTGATTATATTCCTGTGTTAATGTTTAACATGTTCCTCTTCCCTCTATACTTCTCAAAACTGGAGTTAGAGCTGAAGGATTCAGGTTCAGGTTCTTTGCTAAGAATGCTTCAGAGCTCATTCCTCATCAAGAGACACGTAACACCTGTTTGCTTCCCTTTTTGTGACGTTAGCAGCCATTGACGCTCATTCTCCAGACCCATTATTTCATTAGGAGTTGCAAAACCAAAATAATTGTATTCTATCTTTTCATTTCTAGTTATGAGGTTTTAATAAAAAGAAACTTCTTATCAACTATAAAGAACAGTTTATACAGGAAGAGCAGGTTATACACTTGATTCTTTCCCTTTATCTACCAGTTTTCAAAGTAACAGTTGGTTCCCTAGCATCCTCTAAAAGTGATCAACAAGACTGTTTTGTTGCTGATGATGCTGTTGTTGTTTACTATCTTTATTAACTCATAAATTTAAGCATAATTTGGTGTTTCAGTTATTTTCTTTATTGATGCTTATATTGTCCCATGTTTGACAAGTCCCTTTGACATGACCCCAGCAGTCTTTGCTTTCTGGTATGAGATGTTCCTGGCTCATCTCATACATCTCCTGCACCAGACCTTTCTTCGAGGATCCCTGCTTCCTTTTAGCAACCTCTCGTCCGTTTATGTTTCTTTCGACAGCTCTTCTTCTCCCTGGACCTTAACTGTGGTCATTTCCAAACTCAGTCTTTGACCTTCCCCTTCATGTCCCTATGGTCTCTCCCATGGGTGAAAGTCTAATCACTCATGGCATCAACTAGCTCTCCATGCTGATCAATATTTCTTCACCCAACCTGGTGTGCAAGCCTTGCATGGCCTCGGCACCTTTGCAATTTCTTCCTTCAAGTGGAATTCAATTTGACACAATGCAACATAAATTTATTGAGTGTCTTCTATGTCCTAAGTGTTGTACCCTTATTGTTGGTATTAGGAGTAATAATGGTAATAGCTAATAACTTATTGAGTACTTACTATGTGCCATATACTGCCTAGGAGCTTTACATACGTTATCTCTTTTACTCCTCTTAATAATCCTATAATATAAGCTCAATTATTAACACCTATTTTACAAATGTAGGAACAGGCACAGAGAGACTGAGAACTTTTCCCAGGTCTCACAGCAATAAGTAAGAGGCAAAGCTAAGTCTGCCTGACTTCAAAATCCTATCTTAACTGCTAAACCATTCATCATTGTTCTCCCCTCTATTTTCCCTAATCCCACATATTCTACAAACTTTACTTCATCCCATGACTTCTAAGAAGCATTCCTACCCACCCTGGTAAGCACAGCTCTCGCTCTCTGAGCTCCCCGACCACATGCAGCACACCAGAGCACACTGCCACGCGTCTTTGTTCCCTTCCGCAGCAAGTCCCGATTCCCTGGGTCCAGGGTAAGGCCTGAGATTCTGCATTTCTAACAAGCTCCCAGGTGATGTCACTGCTGCTACTGGTCAAGGATCTAGTACATATATACATATGCCTCCACCAGGTGCTTTTACCAAAATATGAGCAATGGTTTATCTCTGATGCTCCTTTTTCTTCTTTATATGTTTCTGTATTTTCCATTTTTCTCTTAATGGATAACTCACTACTTTTATAATCAGAAAAACATATATATGTTAAACTTTCAATATCTCTTCACAGTATTCAAAATAAGGCTCAACTTTCTTCACTCAACATGGGAGGCTCTTTGGGATCTTGCACTTCGTGGTTTCTGTGTCCTGATCTCCTACAACATCCACTTACCCACCAAACCTCCAAATCATCTGTATTTCTCCAGATGCCTCTCACTTACTCCATTTCCCTACCTTCCTCACCTGGCTAACTCTTACTCATCCTTCAAGATTATCTTCAAGTGTCTCCTGCTCCAGGAAGCCTCCCCTAAGTTCCCCGTCTGGTTCAGATATCTCTGCTCTGCTCTGCACTCCAGCAACAACCACACTCACCATGGCTGTGATACTTTTCACCTTACACATTTGCTTTACTTGTCCGTCCACCCTGCTAGACTGGGGTTCCTTGAAGGCAGGAACTGTGTCTTTATTTCTGTATCCACAGTGTTTAGATAGTGCCAGCCATATAGCTGGCATTCAGTAAGTACCTGATTAAATACACAAAGATGATTTGTAAAATGTAAAGGGTTTCCCAAATATTGATTATTATTAGCCTCACTTTAAAGATGAAGAAACAGGTTCAGAGAGGTTAGCTGATGCCCTAGGTCACAGAGCTAATGAATGGAAGAACCTGAATTCAAACCCCAGTTTTCTAATCCTGTTTCTACTTTGCCACAGCTGCCACCATTAAATACTAACGAAAATATATATCGTCTGTTGGGTCAAGTTGATGGACAGCTGTCTCATAACAGGAAGCTTTTCTGTCATTAATTGACCTTGACAATATTCATGGCTAACGCATCTACTGTTACCTTTTAAGAACAGATTAAGCTGAGAAGTTTGAATGTCTTTTAAAACATCTTTAACTCATTTATTTGCTGGAATTTCGGTGATAGATTTTAAGTCACATTTTCCAAATAAGAGAAACTGAGCATGCTCAGGCTGCGATAGGCCATCCATCCACTCTCCCCCTGCTCAGATGCTTTGGTAGGATTTTTAACCACAGGGCATGCCATTCCGAGGCAGGACCACTCAGCCGTCCGTGTTGACCACTGATTTTGGCTTCCTACCAACAGGAGAGCCTACTCTGCTCAGAACACACAACACACCAAGACAAATCTCTACCCCAAGGAACCTACAGGCACTGAGGGAGATAAATGAGTGCACAGGCAATCTCTCTACTCTGTGATAAGGGCCAGGAGGTGCTAAGGGAGCCCTGAGGAGCAACACACAACCCCAGTTTAGGGGAGGCTTTCAGAATACCTGTGCTCAAAACTGTTAGAATGAATTTACTTAAAAGTCAACCAATAAAACTGGTTGAATTCTAGACCCAAATTGAGGTTTTGGTCCATGGGGCAAACTGTTAGAATGAATTTACTTAAAAGTCAACCAATAAAACTGGTTGAATTCTAGACCCAAATTGAGGTTTTGGTCCATGCGGCACCAAACACTAGTTCAACCTAACATCTTTATTATCATCACTTAAAAGTCAACCAATAAAACTGGTTGAATTCTAGACCCAAATTGAGGTTTTGGTCCATGGGGCACCAAACACTAGTTCAACCTAACATCTTTATTATCATCTTTTTTTTTTTTTGGCTTCTTGTACACAGAGCATTACATTTTCCCACTGCTCAAGCCCTGAGAAATGCTACCAAAGTCACAAGCGAATGGGTGAGTGCAAACCTAAATCACAGCCTCCATCCCAAGCCCACCAGGTAATCTTCCCAACCCTATACTTAGTTGTCTGGTTTCCAGACAGGGTTTCCTGCCCCTTATTCTGCCTGGGCCACTCAGGAGAAAGCAAACCCTACTGCAGAGCTGCTCACTCTGCGGCCACCAGAGGGTCCCCCAGCATCAAATAGAAAACAAGGACACGCCCTGGACATTCACCAATCTTAAATATTTCCCAGAGCACCTCCCAGCAGCCTCCCGGCTTCCAACCTCTAACACTGCCCAGAAACTCCAGAGCTAGCTGCAAGCTAACACTGCTGAGGTGTCCATTCATACCAAGGAGCTGACATTTCACAAGGCGTTTGAGTCACAGGGCCCCACAGAGTCGCATTTCTGTGCATCTCAGCCCTCTCCAGCCCCATTCCAGCATCATCGATGAACAAAGAGTATCTGTGGCTTAAGTCATTGTTTCCCCTTTGAAGCAGCCCCCAGAATTTCTGCCTGGAACACGACTTGCTCTCAAGTTTTAATGAAGAAAAGAGAGATGCATGTTATCAGACCGGCAGCCTGCAGCCAGGACGGGCAGGTCACATCTTGCAGAGTTCTCCCCCAAAGCCAAACGCTGGGATTCCTGACAAGCTGCGCTTCTGTTCTGGCCTGACTGCTTAACTCAAGGTACAGGGTAAGTTTTCTCCTCCTTGGAAGAGACCCGCAGCAGAACTGGGAAATCAGGTTCCCTGATGACTAGAAAATGGTAAAGGAAAGCTAGAACTATAGCTGCGCTTCTGTTCTGGCCTGACTGCTTAACTCAAGGTACAGGGTAAGTTTTCTCCTCCTGGGAAGAGACCCGCAGCAGAACTGGGAAATCAGGTTCCCTGATGACTAGAAAATGGTAAAAGAAAGCTAGAACTATTTTTCTCTGTCAGCCGCCCCAACCCATGACACAAGCAGACCCATAAACTTATAACTGATTTTCATTCTGGTTTTGTTTGTATCTTTTTGGGGTGTTTATTAAGAGGCTGGACACATTCAAGAAAATATTTTTAAATAACTAAAAGTCCTCAAGGAGCTGGTTCCTACCTTCAGGATGGCTGCACATAAAGCACCTCATATAACCCCCATAAAAACGCAATTCCCAGGATAGGAATTTGAAACCCACTTCATGGATAAGGACGTAGAGGGAAGCAGAGACTTACCATGGCACAATCATGCTGCAGCATCAGGATTCAACATAGGTCTGTCTGGCTCCAACCCACCCTCCACTTATTAATATAACTATAGGTAACATGAGTAGAGTGCTTACTATGTGCCAGCGCTCTGCTAAGTATTGACATGCATTTTCTCACTTATATTCACAGCTTCCCCATGAGGCAGTTACTACTATCAAATCCATTTTCCAAATGAGAAAACTGAGGTTTGGAAAAGTTAGGTAATATGTCCAAGATCACAGAGTGGCAGAGAAAATATGACTCACCCCTGTCTCCAGAGCCTCCAGTGTTAACCACTGTTATGCAGTTGTTTTGTTTTTTGGATTGCCAGCAAACAGTCTTAACCAGATGCCTGTAAACCAGCCATACTGTCTCTCCAACCTCATCTCATGTCACCTCCCCCTTGTTCAACATGCTTTAGATAGACACACTGGTGGTTTTTCAGTTTTCCTATAACACCAAGTGCCTCCCCACCTCCAAGTCTTTGCACATGCTTTTCCCTCCACCTGGAAAGCTTCTTTCCCATCCCTCTTTTATTTGCAACACTAGTTCCTCTTCTTCCTCTAAGTTTGGGTTTAAATATCCCCTTCTCAGTGCAGCCTTCCCTGACTTTCTACCTAAAATAGGACCATTCGAGTCTTCTCTCACTCAGACCCTTGTTTCTTCCATCACAGCACTCATTACAACTTACCAAGTTTTTGTTTAGTTTTCCCCTCTATTTGTACTGTATTTTATTTGTCCTTCCACCTAGAATGTAAAGCCCATGAGAGCAGAAATTCATCTGTCTTGGCCACTGACATATCCCCAGTACCCAAAACATGCCAGGAATTAGTCAGTGCTCAGTAAATATTTGGTCGATTATAATTATTGGAATTTGCAGCTCTCCTATGGAAGAAAGCAGATGGTTTCCAACCCCACACTGAGTCCTCCCATGATATTGGAAAAAAAAAAAATCCTTCAGCTTCTGTTGCCTGAGAGATGAGTTAGCACAGCAACCTCAGCCTCAGTTGAGTCCTCCTGGTCCCCTAGAGGGAAGTCTGCTCCTAGGCGGTCACCCACAAATCACACACACCAGAGACTTTGGCCACAGAACAGTGCTGCCTGGCTTCCTTAAAGCCGCTTCTCCGTAGAGTACGGGATCACACTGAGGAGGTGGGGATCTGCTCTCCAGAGCCTGCTGCCTGCTGGGGCCAAGCTAGACGCCTTCTTGCTCATTCGCTGGTTTGGTCTTTTCTGTTACCCCAGAAAATAATGTCTACGCTATTTTACCCGCAAGGAGACTCAGGTTCACAGTGGTGAAATAATTTGCGTAGAGCCACACAGCTGAGGAGTAGGAGAGTCACCCACTGCCCGTTCAGCATTCTTCAGTGGCTTCTTATTACCTTAGAAAGAAGCTCCAAACTCCTTAGTAGAGTATCTCAGGTGCCCCAGGAAAGGCACCTCTTCTGGGGACTCATCCCCATCCAAGGCTCTGTGGGACTTCGCAGTCTCCCCATAGTGGCTTCTTATTACCTTAGAAAGAAGCTCCAAACTCCTTAGTAGAGTATCTCAGGTGCCCTAGGAAAGGCACCTCTTCTGGGGACTCATCCCCATCCAAGGCTCTGTGGGACTTCGCAGTCTCCCCATGCAGAGCTGGGGGCAACGCCTGGAACAGATGCAGTACCTCACAATTCTGTGCTCTGGCACATGCTTTTCCCGCCTGTCTGCCCCACAGAATGTGGCTAATTCCTACTTGTCCTTTAAAATCCACATTAAAAAACAAAGATATCCCTTGATAGGAATTTATCCTAAGAAAACAAATACGTGGGAAAAAATGTTTATTCAAAAGTACTCCTTTTATATACAATTAGTTATTTATGACAGTAAAAATTAGAAACAATGTAAATGTTCAAAAAATATGGGAAATGTTTAACAAATTATATCTCCCAATTTGGGGGATACTGCTATAGCCACACTTGGGTTGGTTTCTTTTCTTCTCTTTTCTTTTTTGGATTGCCAACAAAAAGTCCTGATGAGATCACTGTCAAATCAGTGATTCTCAACTGAAGTGCCAAGGAGGACTGCTGTGACTCCTTCCTAGGGCATTGTAATTGACAGATGAGGTTTCTACAATTGTGATTCACACTGTTAACACAGTGTTTGGGCAGACAATGCTGAGCTGGGCTACCCAGGTTTCTGTGTGGTGCAGGGCACAACTTGATATACCTGAAGGAGCAATGAAACTATGCATTTGCCAAGACCTCAGAGAACTTTGCCTCCTGAGTATCTACGAGGGAGTGATCAAGGCAGTTAATACAGATGGCCCCCAACTTACAATGGTTCAACTTATGATTTTTCAACTTTATGATGGTATGAAAGCAATACGCATTCAACAGAAACCATACTTAGAATTTTGATGTTTTCCCAGGCTAGCGATATGCACTACGATACTCTCTCCCTGCTGGAAAACAGCAGAAAGCCACAGCTCCCAGCCAGCCACACGATCATGAGGGTAAACAACTGATACTCTACAGTGTACTATATAAGTTACATGAAATATTCAACACTTTATTATACAAGGGTACTTCAAAAAGTTCATGGAAAAATAATTAAAAGATAATACGAATCTTTCCAGAGACTTTTTGAAGTACCCTCATAAAATAGGCTTTGTGTTAGATGATTTTGCTCTATTGTAGGTTACGTAAGTGTTCTGGGCACGTTTAAGACAGGCTACACCTACTGGTTAGGTGTATGATATGACAGAGTTTGGATGTGTTGTCGTCCCCCCCCCCCCCCCCGTGCCTCTCTCTCTCTCTCCTCTCTCTATCTCTCCTCTCTCTCTCTCTCTCTCTCTCTCTCTCTCTCTCTCTCTCTCTCTCTCTCTCTCGCTCTCGCTCTCGCTCTCGCTCTCGCTCTCGCTCTATCTCCCCATGTGATCTGCTTGTACCTGCAGGCTGCTGACTGTTTTCCATGGTGAATAGAAGTAGCCTGAGGCCTGCACCAGATGCAGCTGTCCCAGAATCATAATCCAAATAAATAAACCTCTACTCTATAAATTACCCAGTCTCAAGTATTCTGTTATAGCAACACAAAAATGGACTAATAGAGTGCATTAAATGCAATTTTGACTTATATTTTCAACCCCATTGTAAGTTAAGGAGCATCTGTAGTTCTACTCAAACAGTGCCACTATGCTAAAGTGTAATCAGTATAATAGTGTAATTACTATACATGCAAATTAATCTTTTTATGACCACTCTAAGGGGACTTGGAAGCCCCTCTTAAATGTTCTGGTGGTATCCCATAGTATCTCTTCTATTCACTAACACACTGGATTTTAATTGTTTGCTTATCTGTCTCCCAACAAGACTTGGAGCTCTTTGAGGGAAGAGACTGATTCTTTAATCTCTGAATCCCCAGGGCCTACCACATACAATAGCATTCCTAAAAGTCTGTGGACCAAATGAAGAAATCGAATGAGTAGGAGTATGCAAACCCAGGCATTCTCATTCTCAATCCACTTGCATCTTCCCTGGGCAAAAGGGATCCAGGATTTCCTGCACTGGTGATTGTAACTGGGGGCCTGGGAAGTATTATATGGAAAGATCTTGAAAAACTGTCCCCTTAAATTAGTCAGCACCAGGGTTGCAGGGACCCAGGGGAGGGAGAGCTGAAATCCATGTTGGGTTTTCCTGGCAACAGCCAAGATTAGTCACGATGTGGCACTTGGAGGATTCCCCCAGTCTACTCATTCCTTTGGAATCACTCACTCCTCCCAGGACCTCCCCTGGGAACAAAGGAAAACCCAGGACTTGTGACTTGGCTCTTTCCCACAAATAGTTGCTAGTACTTTACATTTAACTCTAAACCACAATTAAAATACTGTAAATGCCGGGGTGGGAGGGGTGGGGGGCAGGGGGGGTAATGAGTAAGAATCCGCTAGAAAATATTTAGGGTTTCTCTAAATGTCTTCCAGAAACTTCTTCTAAAGGGCTTTTAGGGTCAAGGAAGCCCATTACAGAGCAAATGAAGGAGGCTTGTAAACTTAGGTTTTAACAATCTCAACCACAAGTGAAACTAAACTATCAACCATGTGAAGCCAAACACACCAGTAGGGGTAAATCCCCTGTTCAGTAAAAGGCTTGTAACACCCCTCGAGCTGACAAGCCAAACAACACCCTTGCTCCTGCACCCGCGGGAAGGTGTAGCAGGTGAGTGCAAGGAACCCGGCTTCAACAGGAGATGCCTGCCTACCGCGGGCGCAAGGCTGTAGAGATTCCCGGAGGGTCCTCCTAGGGCCTGCCTAATCTGATAGCAACCAAGTCTGAGCGCCTCCGAGGTTTTTAGGGCTGCACGTGCCTCTCTCTACAGTGTCATCTAGAAAAACAATTCCTAGACCTGTAGATTACCGAAGAGGAGAGCCGTTTACCTCTGGTTCTGGGCCGGCGTGCCCCGCCCGCAGAACGGCTGGATGCTTTGATTTCCACACTCACCCGCCGTCTAAAACCAAACCCGAGAGGAAGGGCACGGCCCAGGGTGGGGATGTCCTGAAACATTCGAGGGTAGGAACATTCCTACTCGAAAAGAAGCTTACACTAGCGCCCTCACTGCGGACGGGTGAGGCCGGAGTGCGGCCAGTCCCCGGATCGGAAGAAGGGCGTGTGCGCTGAGCCCGCGGAGGGGTGGGGGGTG